CCGTGCAAGATAAAAGTCTCGTGCACGATTTTGAACGAGAGAAAGAAGTGAGTAATTAATAGGTTTTCACTCATATTTGGCGAAAAATGAAAAGAATTGTATAGTTACATCGAAACTTTTCTATTGCGACAAAAAATAATTGGCACGAAAATATTGATGCGACACAAATTGCCGGTGATATGTTCATCTCATGGTGCAGTTATGAAATGTGCTTTATGCGTTTTACCTTGTTAACCCCACTAAAAGAATTCTTAGGCTTGGTCCCCGGCCCCCTCCCAAGCACGCTACCATGCCCTTCATCCCCATCGTCGCATTCAAAAAAAGAGGAAAAAGAAAATTTAATGTCGTTAAATTTAAAATTGATAAAAAAAAAACTTATATAATTCGCATGTCCATATTGGTATATTTCGAACGTTTTTTAGGGTTTCATAGTGACTATAAATTACTAGAATATTCAATTTGCATGAGTCATAGAAAAAAACAAGAACTAAAATGTATAAGTCCAACCAAACAAAACTTATCGTCGAAAACATTTAGATCTTAAAAGACCTTCATCTCCCAAGGCAAACCTCTTCATCTTCCAAAAACTCTTCCATTTTTTGAAACTCTCGTGTAGACTCTCAACTTCAATTTCTGAAGCGGAAAGCATGCTTCGCCTTTGATTTTCTTTTCCTTTACTTTGACTGTCTTTTCTTTTATCTTCCGCTCTGTTTTGGGAGATTGTGTGTATGAATAAATTTCTGTACCTGATCTTGGGTGAACGTGAAGTCCAGTTCAACCATTCGTCTAGTCGACAGCCATTGAGGAAGATGTTTGGGATGTGACTCCACAATCTTTTTGAGATTAGGCTCCTATTTTCTCTCGATATAGATTTAAGTTTAAATCTGAGGGTTTTACTCTCTCGAACTAGACCTAGAATATAGATCTAGAAGCTCATTGTAGGTATTTGATTTGTGTTTTTTCAACATATTGATATTAGTGTCTTTGCACGGCAATGGTGATGAGGACGTTAAACCTAGACGCGCGTCGCAAGCCATTACAAATGGAGTGGGGGATCTTAGCGTGTGCTCATCATTGAATCTAGTGATTAGTCGCCGAACGTTTACAGTGGCAAATCTGTTCTTGAGGGATGAAAGTGTGCTTTTAGCTTCATATTGTGCTTTGTTATTTGCGTTCTAGTATTTGCTTTGTTCCGCAGTTGTTTGGGATTTGCTAGGCTTGTATGCTTTCTATGTACCTCTCGGATATTATTCTGATGAATGAAATTTTTCTTTCGACCAAAAAGAAAAAAAATCTTAAAAGACGGTGCGGTTATATTGAATAAGGGATAGAACGACCGGACATGCGTGCATGAATTTACCGCATAAATGCATGTCCAATTCCCTATATCATACACTATAAATAGTTCCATATTTGGACTACCCACATGAACTTTGACGGGTTTCTTATCTGAATCGAAGGATGTATCACGGATCGACGATTAAATAATCCACGATAGACTTTCATTCACGTTGTAAAAGCATAGAAAGAGATCGAATAATGGAGAAGATTAGAAGCGGTGTTTAGTTGCCGGTTGAACTTTGCATGCCCCATGAGGTAATAAGTCCAATTTTCTCTCGAGCACTTTCCCTCATGGGAAGTTAGAGCTACGACAAGTAGCTCGACGATGACATGATATAACAAATTAATAAATCGATGATGTAACTCTACTTGTAAACTTTAAGTTCCATCATCATCCTCGCATAAACGAACAATCTCGCGTCTTGGCATGGTCAAGAGGTACATAAGAGGAGTTCAAATCAATGTCGGTGTCCCAAGGGGAAAATTGTCCAAAAAGTCTTAAAACTTATTGTGCGCCGGCCAATTCAGTCATAAATCTTTCAATTGTGCCAATAGTCCTAAACCATTTGTCAATTCAGTCATAAACCTTTTGATAATTTGTCAATTGAGTTCTAAACCTTTTGACGATTTAATAGGTTTAGGACTAAATTGGCAAATTTTCAAAAGGTTTAGGACTAAATCGACACAATTGAAAGGTTTAGGACTAAATTGGCACAATTGAAAAGTTGAGAACTGAATTAGCCACCATAAAATAGGTTTAGGACTTTTTGGACAATTATCCCGTGTCCAGATACACATATGTAAGTACAACCATTAACTCGTTACGCGACATGTCTTACCGATTGCACGATCTTTGATTGCGTAATAATCTCTCTCATCACGAAGGTCATGGAACCTATACATGCAATGCAATGATGGACCTTGGATTCAATCTTAGGAAGGCTTATGATAATTGGCAATGTAATTCAACTATAGGAACATGGGGTATCGGGGGAAACATGGGCCTTGGGCCAATCCACGTTGGTCTTGGTCTGTCTGAACATCGAACAAAACGAATTATGCTCTTCTGAAAAAATGGGCCAAACATAGACCGGAGATTATAAATCCCCAGCAATCTTACACAGTGAATAAGATAATAAATTTTATGGTTATCTTTTCATATTTCATGATAAATTGATCATATGGACTGGGATTCAACAACACTCTTCATCTTCAAGATCTTTGAGTGTTTCAATAATCTTGAAGTTTTTGCACCGTGTCAAGTGAACCTAAAAAGCGCTTGCGTCACTATAAAATTTTGATGAGAACTAATTTAGGAAAAAGAGATTGGAGAATGTCAATATATTGATAAGCTAAGGTATCAATATGTTGAAGTACATTTCTTCGTAAATGGTGTGCCCGCTATACTTTCTATTCCCGCCTTCTAGTCGAGTATGCTTATGGTATCGTAGCAAGGTTTCGGGTGTTGAAATAAAACGCGAGAGATGCGCAACGCACTAATGAAATTTCAATTGGGTTCGCGAAAGTGGTGTTATTGATTGATGCTAGAAGTCTAAGATAAAGTCTCTAAAGGCCGGATTGACCTTTCAATGCGTAAACTAGTCAGGAGTCGATGCATCCATCCTTATGGTAACCATGGCAGCCAAATCTCTAGTCTGTCTCCTAGACGGCATTGACATGTCTACTTCGAGATAACGGACGCCAAAGTTAAACAACGATGGTGTGATTTTCAAATTCTTTTTTAAGATGATATGTAGCCATTTAGTAAGGTTATTCACCATTTGTCATAAAATCTTTCCAATAGGTTAGTCTCACACCTGAATTCCTAATTCACCAAGCTAAATGGCCAATTTTTCTGGGTATTGTCGTTCCCATCATATGTTCTATTATGCTAATATGGGATAGCCTTAGACGAATGGCTCATTGACAACTGTAGGAATAAGAAGAATGGACAATAAACTTGAGGGCACGAAACGTTCAATTATTCATGTACCTTGAAGGCTAAATATAATTAAACGCAAATATTCGTGTGCTGATCAGGTAGCATTCGTCACGCAAGATTTGGTGCCACGTTGCCTAGATTCGCAATTGAAATGTCATGATCCACTCAATATGCTGAGCTCATCCAATATTGTTGCCTTTTAATATATGCTTGGCAAATCTACGACATGCGCACCCCATCATCATATTTTCCCTTCCTTTTTCCATTCGTCAACCTTCTACAAGCTTCCCAAACGGGAGAAGAACATAGTTTTTATCTCCTACCAAACATAGCGTGAACGATAAGCTTGCTCTGTCGTCTCGAGGAGTATGAATGTTGCTTCAGTAGTGCGGTTAGCCTCTCCTTAGGTGATACCATAAAGATTTCTTATCGATTATGGAATATTTGATTTGAGTCGTGACTACATAATTCATATATATGCCGACGTTTGAGATTGACAAGCCCGTTACCGTTGCCTCAAAAAGTCGAGAATCCTTCCACGCTACGTAGTGATTGAGAAAGGGACAAACTGGTCAGAGGCTTCGAGCTGTTGAGCTCATGAAAGATATGGTACCCTTTTACTCTTGGGCTATCATTCTTAAATGTAGCTCTCATCGTTGGGCGGAGAACCTAAGGAGAAAAATGAATCGGTATGAGTAAGTACTTTCCTTCTATATGGACCCGTCCACTATATTCTTCCATTCATTTTATATAGAGATCAATACCTTTTCGATTGGAGACGAGGTTGGACAATTTTCTTTAAATTTATAATTAGTTCACTTGCACACTCTACTTGTGTTCGCAAATACTTTTGAAGTAATATAATAGATTCTATATGTTAAATTTATTTAAATTTATAATCCTAGAAATATTATGACAATCATCATTCACCAAAAAGCTTAAGTAACTAAGTTCGGCGTTTATTCGATGTCATTATTGTGATAAAAGTGCTAGAAATAACATTGGTAATTTGGTATCTTATGCAGAGTGGGATAAAAATGATGTTTTGATGCAACGAATAGAAATGATAAACAGGCGGTGGCTCACTCAATCTAAAAAAGGTAAACGTGTGGACATAGGCAATGTGCTTACAAGAGAAAGGCTGGTCCACCCAACTTTGGCCGGAGGCAATGGACCGCACACTTTTATGTAAAATATACCATGCCGATCTCCGGCCCCTATCTCTGGCTCCGCTCCCTTCGACCCGTCCAAAGATCACTTCTATTTATAATATAAATGAATCTGATCTGGTATATCAAACTGTGGTGATGGAATAAGTTCTTTTATTTTGCATTGATGGTGATGGAATGGTTGAAAAACAGGAGCTTTAGGAGGACTTTAGAGCCATGATGGAATGGTTCAAGGAAGGGAGAGTTCTTGAAAGGACATATGGGCTACGGCACCGTCTTCCCTGCCAAGAAAACCGAAAGGAAAGCAAGAAGGAGGACAAGGACAAGCAGTACCACGGGCCGGCCGAAGGGGTACGTCCGTTCATTCGCAGGTGGAGCCGAAACAACAAAAGGACTTGTACCTAAAAATAAGGCAAAAGAAAGGACTTTGTCTGAACAGAGCCAAGAGCCAGGATTGCGAAATCTGCCACGTTCACTCTTTCTCTCTCCTCGAAACAGTATCTGGTGGCGGTGGGGGCCCTTATTTTAGGCTGTCTTAGCTCAGACATACGCGTCTCTCTCTCTGGCTCTTTGTCGAGCTCTGGTTTTTCTGCTTTCGTTTCTGTTGGAAACATTATAGCTCGAATTCCCACTTCTTGAAAAATTCTCATCCACGAAAACACGATTTCTGTCACTGACTTTCCCTGGCTGCAGATAACGATTGCTGGGTGTCTTTCTGTTTGTGCCCATTTCTTCTCCTTCTCCTTCTCCCACTTGTTGTTTGGTCTGGGTGGGTGGTTGCAGAAGCTGATGGTAAAATTGATGTCATGAGAATCCATCTCTCGTGGCTTTTTTATCTAAGCAGCTTCAACACCCACCACCACCACCACCGACTTGACCTTTAATACTTTCCCGTCATCTTCCATCTTGTTACCTTTCAAAGTCAACTTTTCCGTCTTTGTCTCTCTGTCTGTTTCTTTGATTCTCTTTTCTATTCTTAGTTTTTTTTCTCCCTTGTGCGGTGTTCAAACGTTTGTTCCGCTTGCAGCTACAAATACATGTTTTTTCCTCCTCCTAGCTCCTTGTTTCATCTTTTCTAACAGTTCCCAATTCTGGGTCAATGGTCTTTGTGACTAATCACGCAGAGGTCGTTTTTTTAATAGTTTACGTTAGTCATCTTGTCATGTTTTCAGGCACGAAAGATGGGTTGTGATTATTTGGATTGCTGGAGGGTCGCAAATACAAAAGCTCCAATTTTTTTCCTTTCTCATTGGTGGGACTTTCACGAACAGAAGAATTTTCTTTTCGTCTGGTCACATAATTGAGAGTTTCCTTCCAAATTGGCATTCAAAGGGTTTAGCCCAATTTCATTGGAAGGGGTATCATGCACGATCCAAAAAGTTGTCTTTCTTGTGTTTGTGAAATGGACCAACCCATGAATGTTTATTTTTCTGTGGTTTTCTTGTATTCATTTTGATTCAAAGTTGTGAATTTACTCTGTTTGATGATGGATTTGGAGAAAATTGAGGGAGTTGGTGGTGTGAAGGAAGAGGGCAATGTGGTCCCAAAGGGGAAGGGGAGTGGGAGTCTGAGCAGCAAAGACTTGTATCTGAGAGCTGATAAGTTTGATCTAAAAAGCTTGGACATACAGCTTGAGAAGCATCTAAGCAGGGTTTGGTCAAGAAGCATTGAGAACCAAAAGCCTAAAGAAGAGTGGGAGATTGATTTGGCAAAACTGGACACAAGATATGTCATTGCTCATGGTACCCATGGTACTGTCTACAGGGGCACCTATGATAACCAGGATGTTGCAGGTACTTAAGTTTTAACCTTCTCTTATTCTTGTTTCAATATTTAGTCTTTCTTAGAGATTTATCATAGTTGTTGCTTGGTAAGGTGAAAGATTAATCAGAATGTGGAAATTCTTCCCGTGCTTTTGCTATATGTCAAAGCCAGTGGGCCTAATGTATCTGTGGAGCTCAAGAGCCATGTTATGAGCTGTTGCTTCACCTACTGCCAATTCAGCGAAATGCTTACTGAGGACCTAGCTACTCTAATGAAGAGTCTATAAATGTACTGCCAGCTTAAGCTCAGACTTTTTTTGAGTGGAGGGTTGCTTTGCTAGATTCGTGTTGTATCTTCTTGCACATGGATGTGATTATGCATATGTAAAATATAAGAACCTCAATGACGGTATAGGTTTTTATGACTCAGGTCAAATAGGGAGGTCGGTTAGACTTGATCTGTAGTAATACATTTTGAACATTTGTACAACCAAACAACAATAAATGTTGTTGTTTATAGAGCTCCAAGACCGATGGTGAGGGTTGACGATCTGGTAAACTTCAGAGTAATTGAAGATTAATGCAAATAACTGTCGCCAATCTTGAGTCAAAAAGCAATAATCACTGTCTTTGCAATTGTGATATATGCTCTAATATTTGGCGAATCATGGAGATGTCGCAATGCTTGAGATGAAATTGTAGCTCACAAATTAGATACTATGTAGAATAATGAGAAGAGTCAGTCTAAATTCGAATGTAATCTCACAATGCCTTGCAATTGGCACTTGAGGGATAGAATATATGCAAATGAGAGGTTAGTGACTTTGGAGTTGGATTTCTTCTTCATTTCTTCATCTAGAGGTCTATTGTTAACAAAATACATGCTTCCTTTTTTGGCTTTTCCCAGTCCCATGTTAGCAAGGCGCTAATTTATTAATTTCTGGAATACCGGTGAGGTTTGAAGTTCCTGATGATGTTTAGATACGATATTTTGAGATGGATTGCTTGGAGATGGAGGAGACAAATCAATGATCATATTCAGTGCTTCAAATATAACCTGTTGTTTGTTGCAACCTGTTTGGCATAATTTGGTTACTGAACTCCAGTAACTTGTATATTTGTGAAATTTTCATGACTTTTAATTCAGTTAGATTTATTGCATGCATTAGTTCAATATGTTTCTGTTGACGAAAGCTCAGGTACTTAGCTTAAGTTCTGTTCTTGGTATAATTCTGGCGTCTTTTTTGGCTTTCTTACTTCTCTGTTTTCCATATTTTAGTGAAGTTGTTAGACTGGGGCGAGGATGGTATCGCAACATTGGCTGAAACTGCTGCCTTGCGGGCATCGTTTCAGCAAGAAGTTGCCGTGTGGCACAAGCTTGACCATCCTAATGTTACCAAAGTACAATCTCATTCTCTTTTCTTTGTTATGTGCATTTCATGAAAGATCTTGTTTTCACCCCATACAGAAGATAAAGGGAGGTGCCTCTATCTACAATTATCTCTTTTTTCTTCTGTATGGACTTATGATAGTTTTTCCTATTAGAAGAGCTTTTTTTTTTAATTCCTTCCCACTTGTCAAATTCAATTCTTTTAGTTAACATATTTGGCTCGTATATTTTACCTTTTACAGTCTTATGCCATTGCAGTTTGTTGGAGCATCAATGGGGACTTCCAATCTTAAGATTCCATCAAATACCCCTTCAAACGAGCCTCCGAATTCACTTCCTGCTAGAGCTTCTTGTGTGGTCGTAGAGTATCTTCCCGGTGGGACCTTAAAACAGTACCTGATAAGGAATAGGCGAAAGAAACTTCCCTTCAAAATTGTTATCCAGCTAGCTTTAGATCTTTCTAGAGGGTGAGTGCTCGAATAAGTTGTGCTTTCTAAGAAACTTGTCATGTTGCATTTCTTAATCATATGAAAATTATTGGATTGCAGTTTGAGCTATCTACATTCGAAGAAGATTGTACATCGGGATGTCAAAACGGAAAACATGCTGTTGGATGGCCGCAGAAATCTAAAAATTGCTGATTTTGGCGTAGCGCGTGTTGAAGCTCAAAATCCAAGGGATATGACCGGTGAAACCGGTACCCTTGGTTACATGGCTCCTGAGGTACTACTTAAAGCCATCTCATTTTAGTTTGTTAAGTTAGTATATTTTGGGAAGATAAAGGGGGAAAACGTATTGATAGCTGCACGGAATTTTTGCACTTACAAGGACTAATGCGGGAACTGTAAATTGAACAATATGATTTGCCTTCATTTGTTTTTTTTCTTTGAAAAATTTCCTTTTGGCCGTTAATATTCAACTACTCCACTGGTTCCTTTCTAAGAAAGGCATTTTCTTTTGTGCTTTCCTTTGATAGACTCCTGCTCCTGCTACTAAAAAATTTCCGTCAACCACGAGAAATTTGTTATAATAATGTGTTTGTTCGTTGTGGAAATAACTGATAATTGATGTACTTTCTACATTCTTAAGACGAGTTTCTGAATCTAATGAGACTGCTTGTAGGTTCTTGACGGTAAGCCATATAACAGAAGATGTGACGTCTATAGCTTCGGCATATGCTTATGGGAAATTTATTGCTGCGATATGCCGTATCCTGATCTAAGTTTCGCTGATGTGTCATCTGCTGTGGTTCGACAGGTCAGTTTTCTGAACGAGTTTTGCTTCTACATGACCTTTTGGGTTTGTGTTCTTCCCAATTGAATGTGCTTTATTTTTCATGTTGTCCTATTAACTTAATCAACTTTCATATGCCTTTCTTGGGAGTGTTTTATATTCTGTTTGCAGCTTTAGAAATTAAGGCATGGCTCGTGCCCTGACGTGATGTTACACACTACAAAATCATATATGTTGCTTTGATTCCCAAAGTGCTGCTGATGAAACCATATGGTTGACAACTACATTTCTCACTCTTCCTATAGCGTATTTTAGACTCTGATTCAAATGATTCCTCCTAATGAATAATGAAGTCAACTTAAATTGATGAAGACAGTTGAGTGTACTTTTAAGAATCTCACTTGCCTAACATCTGTGTGTGCCCACGGCGACATAATCTCTCTATTTGCTGGCATAAACGGGTAGATTTCATATTATTGTAAGAATTTCATCCTGCCTTTGTTTTTCCTCTGTACAGAACGTGCGACCTGAAATACCGAGATGCTGTCCCAGTTCTTTGGCGAACATCATGCGTAAGTGCTGGGACGGAAATTCAAGGAAGCGTCCCGAAATGGAGGAGGTGGTTAGGATGTTGGAAGCGATAGATACAAGCAAAGGAGGAGGTATGATACCTGAAGATCAGGCTCCGAATTGTATCTGCTTTGGTCCTGCCCGAGGACCCTGATTTCAGTTCGGCGATCCACAATCGAATTACCCTTTAGAGCAAGTCTAAAGATATATATATTTTTTTGAGAAATCTGTGACGAGTACTTGAATGAATGCGCTATTGCGTGACTTTGGTACTTGATGATGCTTTGAATTCTACTATATTCTCGGAAAATCTCGTCTGTATAGTTCTGGCCCGTCCGGCGGGTCTTGATGATTTATTGAAGAGAAAGTGATAGTGGGCACAGAAAGTGTGTAGCTTCATGAGAATAGGCAAGACGAAGGATTCCCTAATGATTCAGAGGAGAACAAAACAAGCTTTTTCAATGTAGTTCTGGTTCATTCATGGTGTTCCTTTCTTGGTCAAATATAGACTGAGAGGCTCCGGGCCGTTGATTAGTATCTGGGATTGAATTGAACCAGTTGTGATACACTTCTGCCACTATTTAAAAGAGCAGAGTCTTTCTAAAACTTGCCCCATTTCATTCAAAACCACCACTTTCTTGAAAGATCACATACCCACAATACACGCTAATTCATTTCATTTCTGTTCAATGATCTATCAACAAGTATTGGATGCACTCACCAATTTTTTTCTTTAAGCATCTTGTTCTTTCATCCGAACCTGTCCCCGCCGGGCCGACCTGGTTCGGAGTTTAAAAGGAGCGCGAGATACTCGACCTTACCTCCGGTGTGGAAAGTTTTAACTACCCACCCTCGGGTTGACGGAGATGTTGGCCTCCCGGGTCAGTCCATCGACACTACGCCATCCCGGTTGATCATGCGCACACGGGGCCATTTTAAGGCTTTTCACCATTTCCATGCTCTCAAACCTCACAAGAGGCAGTCCAGTACATCCTCACCTGGATGACATAGATCTTGCTCCGTCATTGGAAGGCGCCCCAGATCTGCGAGGCCGAGGACCTCATGACCAAATGGTACAAATGAAAATTGTAACCTTTCAATATATGTTGTTCAATCCTACAAGAGTAAATGGTGCAAGCAAAGTTTGCCATCTTGAGAAAAAAGGGTTGTTTTGGAATTTAAAAAAAGTGGAGAAAAACTGCACCTTCACAAAAAAGATTAGTAAATGGAATCAAGAGATGGAAAATGAACACAAACTACAAAAGTTTTGCACATAACCTATTCTAGTGGAGGCTGATAGGAATTTTCAATATTTTTTAGGGAGGATAACATAAATAATTCATGAACTTTGGTTTAATATGTAATGTCGTTCTTTGACTTTTTTGACTTTTAATTTATGCAATGTGATTCTAAACTTTGGTCTAATGTGCAATGTTGTCCATAGATTTTGTATTTGTTCAATATGGTCCTTGAATGATTAGTAAATGTTCAATGCGGTCCCTGAACGATTGAACATTTATCGAAAGTTCAGGGGTTACATTGAACAAATTAAAAGTTCAAGAATGACATCGCATATTAGATTAAAGTTCAAGGAACTCATTACACAAATTAAAAGTCCAAAAACATTATTGCACATTGGACCAAAATTTAGAAACAATTTGTATCATTTTCCCAATCTTTCACTCGCTTTAGGACAGAGCCCCCCGAGCTTCATAAACTACATATCGGTTGAGAAATTGAAGTCACGAGGCAAAGTGACCATGCATTGTTCATCAATGTTCCTTAAGCTTTTCAATGGAAGATGTCCAAAGATAGAAGTAACTCATTGAGATAGGAAAGAGCTCAAATAATGTTCCATTGTTCACTAATTTTTCACTGAGTATCACATTCTTTCCCTCATATAATTTATTTGATTTATTTTGGGATAATGACACAAATAATCTCTAAATTTTGGGCCAATATGCAATGTGATCCCCGAACTTTTAATTTGTTCAATGTAGTCCTTCAACTTTAGCCTAATATTCAATGTGGTCCCTGAACTTTTAATTATGTGATTCATGAATTTTTGGTACATATTCAATATAGTCTTTTCATTAATTCAAGTTCAAGGACTACATTGAAAATTTTCATATAATTCAAGGGCTAAATTAAACATATACCAAAAGTTTAAGGACTTACTTCTCGTTTGGAAATCTGCCATTGAAAAACTTAAGGAGCATCAATAGACGGTGCAGATGCAAGGTCACATCGCTCGTGACTTGAAACTCCTATCAGTCTTCATTAAAAATAGGTAACCTCCAATATTTTGTAATAGCTACATAAGTTTTTAATTAATAGTTTCTTGGCTTATGTTGAAAAATTCATATTTATATGGATAACACATACATCTTCCCGTCCTACCCTTCGGAAACATGATTTTCTTTAATCTTTTGGTTCCAAAATCATAGTGTTAAAAATGCTAAATTTCTATATTTTGATGTAGTTTTTCTTTGGTAAAGGAAAACAATATCACTTTTTCTTTGTACATTACGAATCTTCAATCGATTAATACCAATTTACGAAAATTATTATCTGATATTATTTATCGCATCCCAATCTCCTTCCTACCCTTATTATTGCACCGCGTTGCTATTAATTTTTGCTGGGAAAGATAGGTAAAATTATTGATTGCATGTTCGATATTAGTAATATAATGGAATATCTGAAAAATAATAATTTATAAAAGTAGGAGTGCACTTATAATAATGTACAAAGCGGAGCGAGAGCGGATTTTTCTTTTTCTTGGAAAAGAAAACTTGAATTTCGTTTTGAATCGGCTAAAATCTCTTAAAATATGTTCTGAATTTAACTTTTGAAAACTCATTTGAATTTGTAAAACATTCAAAATTTTGATAAATTAGCTTTTGATCTAAATTTATTTGCTCTCGTCAATTTCAAAAGGATAAGAACACGGGAAGGTAACATTTTAATTTAAATTTACGCCTTTATATATAGCTGCCATAAATGTTAATTATTAATAAACGTTATTCTTAACTTGATCATAAAAAAATTATTCTTCTATTTCTTTAATGATATTAACAAATCTAATTGTAATTTTTTGGCCCATATCGATTCTTTTCTATCTTAACAATGTCAAATCTTAAGTTTTTTTTTTTTGGTTAAATGTCAAATCTTAAGTTTATTTTTCCTTCCATGCAAAAGTTTATCTCTTAACATTTCCTGTTATGTTTCATTATATCAATTTTTAGACACGTAGAAAAAGAAATCTTATGTTGTACATGCATGCTACTTTTTTCATGCCATTTCTGTCTTAGAGTAATGCAAATAATTTACGTAGTGCTCTTACTTATGAAGCTATCGTGCGGCATAATTGCTTATTTTTTTTCTATTTGCACTAATTATGTTTATGACAATTTTAAAACCAACAAATTCATATTTTTGGGAACAAAACCAATAAATGTAATTATTATTCTAAGGGATAAATGCAGTAGCAGTTCTAAAACTTATCGTAAAAGTGCGATTAAATCCTAAAACTTTAAAAAAGTGCAATTAAGCCTTAAAAAACTTAGTCAAATTGGTGCAATCAAATCCTTCCGACGGGGCTTTCTTTATTATTTTCTCTCTTTCATGTGGCGTTCTACGTGGCGTTAAGGTTAACTGAAGTACTTAAACGACATTGTTTTAATGTGAATCCTAATTTTTACACCGAATCTTAATTAAATTAGGTAAAAAAATTCAAAGTTTTTCCCAATAAATTAAAATTTCAAAAAAGGCTAAAAAGTAAAAAAAAAACACAGAAAAGAGAAAAATAAAAAACCACCAACGGAAGGAGGGCCAGGCCCTATGCCTGTGTTTGCTGCTCCATTGCCAGTGGGGCGTCTACGCCGGCATAGAGGCCCCACCGTCGATGGAGCAGCAGCCACAAGCGAGAGGGCTGGCTTTAGCCCTCTCCCCTTTCTTTTTTCTTATTTTTTAATCTAATTTAACTAAAACTTAGGTTAAAAAAATTGAGAGTTTGATCAAAACGACGTCGTTTTAATGCTTCATTTAACCTTAATGCCACATGGGAGAGATAAAATATTTAAAAAAAAAATCACATAAGCATTTTCTGTCAATCAAGTTGGACTCATTTTTCTTTTATCACTTATCAAGAAAAAGAAAGTATTTATCTCTAAACAATCTTATGTTATCATAAAATTCATATAGTTGAACAACCAATTTTTGCTACATAAATATGTATTTTCCGTTTGAAAGCTTTGTCTTCATATGTACATTAGATGTATTATATGTGATCTTGTGCTCCAAAGTCTAATATAATTTTAGCTTACTGTTATATTACAATATTCTAAATATGTATATATATAATCAATTCTCTATAGTGATGTCTAGGCATGTTTGTCCTTGACGAAAGAGACATCAATGAATGAACCCCGTCGCTAATGCGTCCATCTTCTTCACTGGTTTCGAAAGAGAACTCCTTTCCCAGTACTTTGAAACTCCTCTGTGAATCTGGCCTAAATGTCGTGTAGATTCGACCTATCAATCGCCACCAACCCCACTCAAAAATCGCACTATGGCAGTGCACGCATTCAATCGATAAGAGCGCAAGGAATAATTCTAGAGTTTTCATTTGATTCGAATAATACTTATATTGACTTACCCCTTTTCGACCAATTTAAGTTCATCAATCGAGAAAACTATTCATGAATTGCATCCTAATTGATCGTAGTGATCGAAAAAAATACATGTTGCGCATGTAAAATACATACCCAATTTGTAGGGGTGTGCGACCAGCCCAGATTTACCTAAGAACCGGACTGGACCACCCGAAAAATAAGTTCGGGAACCAATTTCATTTTTTGGAAACAGGTTGGAACTGATCCGATTCTCGGTTCCAAGTGAAGACCCACTCGAACCAGTTTTGGAGCCGGTTTAGCTTGTGTTAAAAAAAAAACCATAGATCATACTATTACTATATTTTGGATTGTTGCTTTTAGTAGATAGTGATTTTTATTGTTCATCTTAGGGATTATTACTTTTGACAGATAGTGATTTTTATTATTCATATTTTATTTTGAATCGTTTCATTACTACTCATGTTATTTTGCTAGAAAAAATAAAACTAGAAAAAAGAACAAAAGAAAACAGGTTTTCGTGTGGACTTTGAAACCATAGCGAAAAAAAAAAGGTAGGTTCTAAAACAGGTTCCGGAACAAACAAAGTAGGTTCCAGATTCCAAAAATTAGGAATCGCTTATAACAGGATAGGTTTCAGGTCTGAAATCTACTCACCCTGAAACCGATTACCCCT